AACATTTACAATTAATATTTTTATTAATAAAATGTAAGATTTGATAACTAAGATACAAAGATGTCTTGGAAATGTAGAATACTGCTTTGTTAAATAATGAAATAAAATATAAAACATAGGTTTATTAACTGTTAACAATCACATTTTAACATTTACAAATAACGTTTAATAGTAAAAGTTCACATTTGATAACTATGATACAAATGTTCTATTGAACAATTAAAATATAACGTTAAAACATATATTTGTTAACATTTAACATATTTGATTTATGTTAATAAATCTATTTTAATTTTAAACCAGTAAATAAGTTTAATATTAATATATCGGTGTTTATTTTTAACTGATGAGCTTTTAACTTATGACGTGGTTATAGTGAACTTACGTAAGTTCGGCCATATCCAAACCTACCATATGTTAAATATTAATAAGGTTTCTTAACATTAAACAAACGTTTCTCTCAGTGTATATTGCCAAGTAAAATATTTGTTAATATCTACTATACCTTACTGTAACAAATGTTTTGTTAAAGAAAAACTCGTATTTGTGAGATATTTAATAATAATTATAATATTATGGTATTAATAAATTTCCTCAGTTAATATTTAAAGAATTTCTTCCTAACTTGCAATATTTTAAATATAAACTACTTTTTTTCTCAGTGTAATTTTTCTAATTTAAGGTCTATTTCTGTAATTTAATATTGAAGAAGACAATTAATTTTATAATAGATGCTTGGAATGCATCTCTCTATCATATCTGACCCATATATAATTTCTCTAAAATATACTGTATGTAATGGAGAAATTTGAAGAAATGGCAAAATTTTGTATTTGGGGATAAAGATAATTTTTATCTTTGATTCATATTCTAAATGAGTACTTATTGATTACACGGACCATACTGTCACCAAACTGGGAATTCCTAAGCTGTCCCTGTAGAATGCGACCTTGAACAGCCAACCGACTCATGATCGAAACACCGCTGGAACGTATAGAATTTACTAGAAATTTTCGTGTGACATTCGAGAGCGTCTGGAAAGCCCAGACTATTCTGGTTACAGAGTTGGCTTGATATAAATATTGCGAGTTTGACGGAAGAGTAGATTAGAATAAAGTATTGCTCAGGCGCCAGTTTTGATATCGCAGTTTGCTCTGCGGCCCTGGGGTGCACGTAGAGTACACCCTCAGTAGACTCAGTGGAGTCCAGGTACAAACAAAAAAAAAATAAAACGGATAGACCTTCGCTGTTAAGTTGACCTACACTGGGGTAGTAAAGTAAATAAAGTTTTTCACTGCACTTTTACCTATTAATCACTACGCCCTGAAAACGGAAAAAGCAAAGGCGTAATTCAAAATTAAACTCAGGAATTTCAATCAAAAATATATTTACAAAATAAATAATAATTAAAAATAAAATAAATGGGGTGAAATCGGTATATCTATATATCTGTTTAATAACGGTAATAAAATAAATGCAGAATCATGTATGTTGATAAAATAAAAGGTCTCGGTATTTACAGACAATGATAAAACGGTAAAATTAACTATGACCTATACTATACCCATAAGAAAATAAAAATAACAATTTTCCCTTTAAAAAAATTAAAACGGTGGGCACTAACACCCGTAGCACAAATTCCTTGCTATTAATGAAAACGGCCGGTTTTAGCCATAAGAAAAAATCTACAATAGTAAAACTAAATATGATTCAAACTATACGTTTTAAAAATAAAAAAAAAATTAATAAGCTACTCTCAGTAATAAAAAAAAATATCGGAAATCGGCCAACGGTGGTGAACAGTATCACCCTCCACTCATGAGAGAAAAAATGACGGATGCCTTTGTAAGAACGACACCTAATATCCTCCCCGCAATATTATTTTACTAGGCACAATAGACCAAATAACGGGTGTCTTAAAGCGGTATTATTCGACCAATACTTTGAGAATTTTTATTTTATTTATTCGGTTTCAAATTTCTCTTATGTAGACATCTGGGAATCCATAGCTTCTACAACACAGAAACAACTGCGACTCTCGACAGGGATAGCAAGCGAATACCACTATCATCCCTTGGTTAACACGAAAATGGTTGAAGGGCACTAACGCCCCGGATTTAAATACAATTCGTTACCCTAACAGGTACTAAGAAATCAAAAGTATCGGTCGAATAGCTCATGTAATTAATAGTACGGAAGTGAATGTTACAGGGAGAATTATTAGACGGAATTTTAAATAAAAAGGCCTACCTTAATTAACTTTTCCCAAAAATCGCTTTCGGTAAAACGGCACTTCAGTAAGACAACTTTTACTATCGAACTCACGGTAACAGCAGGAAAAGAGAGCTCCTTCATCGCAAACATTTAGTTTTATCAGAATTCGTACTTTTGCCGGAGTGGGGCGGTAGCCCCACCTAGAGGAAATAAATTGTTATTGCAAAAAAACGTTAATTGATCAGCTTACTGATAAAATCTACTACTATTGCAATTTTACGAGACGATTTACATTATTGTGATATTGAAAAGTTTTAAACTACGAGGGCTCTTGTAAAGATTTAAAAACGGTAATTCTATGGAAACATTAGTTACAGGGGGTCTTGAAAATGTTCATAGACGGAAATTAATTTTAGAAATTAATTTATGGAATAAATTAATGGGAATTTTAGTGACTTCGTCACAGGACTGAAATGATATTTTCAAATAAATAAATTAAAATTGTGAGTTAGTGCCTAAGTTTTATATAAATTAATTAGTACGTCATAAATAAATGGTAAATAGTGTGTTTTAAATAAATAAACTCTAAATAAATTAAACTATCGTTACAATACTCTAAGGGATCATACTCTAATAGATCGTCAGATAAGGACTGATTAAGGTGCCTTATTTTCGCATACAAGCCTTGAAAAGGGTTGAAAAGTAGATCGATGTTGAGTAGAATGAAAGGAAATTTACGAGTGGCCCCTGGGGATAATATATTTTCCTTAACAGAAATAATAAGTGTTTTTTGCTCATAATTCCACGCAAGCCGTGACCACTAAATTATTAATTAACCCATTATTGTCCACTATTTTCAAAAAAAGTCAATCATTAGCGCTCAGTGGGTCACTAGCGACCCAGTACTTATTTATTATTTTTATTTGATATACATAAACTTTCGCTTGAATTTAATCAATGATAACTTTTACCAACAACATGTTGATATTACCAAGTTATATATTTTTCAATAATATTACGTCAATAGGTTAGAAAATCAATTTATATGTCTTGATGAATTATCGCTAGTGGCTAGGTGGTAAAATAAAATAGATTACGTCACACGGAAAAAAAATTGTAGAACAAATTTCTACAATTGTAGATTTTTTCTCTACAATAAATAGTACATATAGGGACAGGGACAATTTGTAGTAAAAATTTCCAAATATTTGTGGAGAATGTATTGTACAGTTATTATCTACAATATTTAGTAAAAAGATCCAAATGCATCATAAGAATTGTTCTACAAATTGTTATAATTTTTGCTATTCATTGTATGAATTTATATTAAAAATGTATTGCGTTTTATGAAAATAAATACGAAAATTTCACACAATAAATAGTAAAAATTCATAAAAATTGTAGTAATTTTTAATAAAATTTGTAGTAGTATTCCATAATTATTATAATTATAACCTAGAAAAAAATGTTCCTTAATAAAATATTCAGTTTATTGTTTTAATATAAAAGATACAAATTCTTAATTACATTATGTAATAAATAACAGTAATAATTGCGCCCTCGGTCTCAATTGGCTTTTCTGCACCTGAAAAATATGAAATAAAAATTATTACCAATTGAATAGTTCATACCCTTAAAACGGGGATATTTATCACCTTTACACTGATTTGGATATTAAATGACCAAGTCAGATAACTAACAAAAATGAGAAAGTAGGTGTGTCACAATTAAGACAAAAAACATCATTGAACTTGGCACAAAATTCGATCGTTGGGCACAACATTCGATCGTTGGCCACAACTATTTTTTTTTAAATAATCTACTAAGGTTATTTAAATTAGTTATCTAAAGGTAAATTATTCAGAAACAATAATAAATGTACTTACCACCAATAGAATTTATTATTAAAATTTTCTCAAACGCATCGGTGCTTATAATATAATAATGTGTTATAGGTACTCGTATATGTACCATGCTTTGTTATGTGAACATGGCGAACGGCTACTGCTGTCCGGCCGTTTATGATCGACGTCAGAAAACGTTGGCCAATAGCAGAATTCTGTTTTGTTCACATGACTTAGAATTTCTACAATATTATAGAATATTTTTGAAGAAGGGATGTAAAGTATAACTATTTTTTGTAGAGAAAATTACTATTTTTTGTAGAGAAAATTACTATTTTTTGTAGAGATAATTATTAATATTTGTACAAATTTTTACAGAAGTTAGTAGTAGTAATTACGATAATTGTAATAAATTTCTACTTCTACAAACAATAGTAAAATATACTAAACATTGTGGACTTCTTTCCTATTGTTGTAGCATTTTATTCGACAATTCAATTGCTACAATAATTAATAGTTTTTAACTATAAATTGTAGTAAAATTTTCTACAAATTGTTAGGTGTTTTTCTACAAGTCTACTACTACAACATTGTAGTAAAATTTTCTAGTCACATTTTTTTCCGTGCAACTTCTTTCAAATCTAGAAAATAATCAGTATCTTCAAAGTATGACAAGGGTATGAGAATATAATTAGAATCAAAGCTAATGAAAAATACTAACATTTTCTAACACTATTTGATCCACTAAATAGGATGGGTCGCTAACGACCCACTGAGCACTAGAGTGGCCTACATTTATGAATGATATATGTTATTAGGTTGTGTAGTTAGAGACGATTTCGCAGTGTTTGAGACATTGTTGACTTTACACTGGTAGCATCAGGGTTATAATTGTGAATATTGTCAAAGAGCAAAAAAGTGAATGTGTTTTTTTGATTGAAAATGAGTAAACCGGAAAGGTAAGAAATTGTAAAACATTACAAAATGTACCTACAGAGTTTTTTTACTTTTAGAAAACGACCTCTAACAGCTTATGAATTGTTAGCAGAGCTGGAAAATATTGACGAGAATGATCACAATACATATGATATATATATATATATATATATATATATATATATATATATATATATATATATATATATATATATATATTAGTCCACCTGAAAATACGGGAAATATAACAGATGAAGATTCTGGAGACGAGGGTTGCAATGATCCAGACCGTTTGAACAAAAATCAGTTACTAGCAGAGGCAGAGCTATATATAAATGATATCAATGCTGATGAATTATTACCAGGGCAAAGCCAGGAAATCGATAATAATGAAATTATTGAAAATGAGGAAAATAAAACACTTCAACAGCCGGCTAAGAAAATGAAAAAACAAAAAGCAGATGTACGTAAATGGATAGATGGTGACTTGCGACTTCCAGTATGTGATTTGTCGTCTAAAATTTTTCCGATGCCATTGACCTTATCTAGGGAAAGCCACCCGTTGGAATTTTTTGAACTGTTTATGACACAGGAAATAGTAACAGATATTATGAAATATACCGTTATGTATGCAATGTCAAACAATAGGAAACTAACGTTGTCCACCGAGGAAATTTATGCATTCCTAAGAATTCTGTATCTCAGTGGTTATAATGTACTTCCTAGACGTCGGATGTATTGGGAAGAGTCGAGCGACGTTCAAAATCATCTAGTCTCTGGTTCAATGAGGAGGAAAAGATTTGAAGAAATATTTCAAAATTTACACGTTGTGGATAACAATAAGATAGATCAATCGGATAAAATGGCAAAAGTGAGGCCGCTTTTATAGAAGCCTTTAATAAAAACTTTTTAAAATACATGCCCATCGAGCAATCTGTTTCAATTGATGAATCGATGATTCCTTACTTTGGACGCCACGGATGCAAACAATGTATCCGTGGCAAACCCATTCGTTTTGGATTCAAGGCATGGATCTTAGCCCTTCGTCTTGGATACTGTGTTCAACTGGATATTTATCAGGGCCGCAAAAAAGATGGCGTGAAATATGGTCTTGGAGAATCCGTCATTTTAAATTTTGCTTCAATTTTGAAAAAACATTTTGAAGATTTTAAATTTTCATTGCATTTTGATAATTTTTTTACCTCTGCGAAACTGGTGAGCTTGCTGGGAGAAATGGGATATGCAGCAACAGGAACCGTGAGAGCTAATAGAACTGAGAATTGTGGCCTTCCTGGAGATGAATATTACAAGAAAAAAGACAGGGAAACATACAATACCAGATTTGATAAGGACCATAATCTCGTTGCAGTACGTTGGAAGGATAACAGCAATGTAACATTGTTATCCAATCAATTTGGAGCACAGCCTATGCAGAAAGCTTTACGTTATTCCGCAAAAGACAAAAAAAAAGTAGAAATACCTCAACCAAATATTGTATCCATGTATAACAGAAATATGGGTGGAGTTGATCAGATGGATAATAATGTTGCTAACTATCGGATATCTTTGCGTGGGAAGAAATGGTATATGCCCATCATTTTATGGCTATTTGATGTTGCCATGAATAATGCTTGGCATCTGGCCAGAGTACATGGTATAGCACTTGACAACTTAACATTTAGGAGGGAGGTTGTCAAAACCATGTTAGCCAAATATGGAACTGCACCCCTCAGGTCTGGACCTAAATCTACAAGGAACTATCCTTTACCTGCTAGACTCAATGCTCGACACATAATCCTCACTAATTTGGCAAGAAGAAGATGCGCTGTTTGTAAGAACAAATCAACAAAAGGATGTTCTACTTGTGAAGTAGCTCTTCATGATAAATGTTTCGTTTTATACCACCAAAAATAAACAGGCAAATAAAATTTTCATAGATCCATCAACTGGCAAGTTTTATTGTAGTCGTATGCTCAGTGGGTCGTTGGTGACCCACAACCTAGTATCGCCATTTTTCATGAAATAATTTTTTTACAATTTTTTTATAACTATTCCAAATATAATCACACTGAAAATATAAAAATTGCTTTTAATTAAATTGATTAAAATAGTGAGCACGGCTCTACCCTGGGTCGTTGATGACCCACTGAGCGTTAATGGGTTAATATAAATTGGCTTCGGAAAATCTAAGGCTTGACTAGTGCTAGTGGCAAAAGAGTTGAAATACGGGCGCAATCTTGTAAAGAAAAATCGATATTTTAACTGATTTTTCTACACAAGCCCGTCGAAATTATAAAAACGTACATCGTCACTAGCCAGAAAAACATGTTGGCTTAAATGGCGCGAATGGATAAGTGCATTTTAAAGTCGGAAAAATTACCGCAATTTTTTTTTGATTTTTGATTTACTTTTTCATGCAAGCTTTTGTAACCATAGAATTTTATTAATGTGTTAGACGTAATAATAAAATTGGCATGAGTATTGGATGTGGACGAAACTAAGGCTTGCGTCGGAAAGTTAAAGGAAAATTGTATGGAAAATGCCACTATTTTCTGATGCTAGCCGTCTCATATGTTTAGAAAATGTGATTATAAGACTAATCTTAATTAAGTATTATAATAAGTACCTATATAGTCTTAAATCTTATAAAATGGTGCTGAAACCGTTATGCGCGAGTTCGTTATGTTTAACAAATCATAACCAATAGGACCAGTTATCCATCGAGGCTCTTTTCCAGTTGAATTTCTTAATTCCTTTGACGACATTCATGAACGCTTGCATTAAACTTTTTTTAGTATTTTCCTGTGAAACTTTTAAACAATATAACCTTTATTAAGTCAAGTGCGCGTGGTACAGACTGTATTTTTCCCGTCGTCTCGCTGTCGTTATATCGCGAAAGTAGTTTCTCGCACAAAAAATAATTTGTTAATATCTAAAATTTAGTTTATAAGGTCTACAGCACAATTTATTTTTACTAGTGGCAATATTTTGTTCAAGATCGGTATCTTATTTTTATATACAATTCCTTTAATTACTTTGGTAGTAGTGTCATCAGTTTTTGTGAGGGTTTGTCCAGGTTTGTTCATAAGTTCAGTTAAGAAGTTAGTTTAGCCTTTTCACGTATCTTTCTATATATTTTTTATATTCTCCCATCAATCATTTCTACGCACATTTCTATAATAATTTCAATGTGTAAATATATCAAAATCTGATATTATAGGAAGATTTAACACGAATTTATTTCTTAAAAGTTCGAGATTTTTTTCAAGTACGTATATTTATTATATCGTCGGCCTAATACGAAAAGTGCATAAGTCCGAATTTTTAGATTTTGCGATTTTGGCTCAATCTGGTTCACCGCTGCTAAAGCTACAGAAATATATTCTTAGTTTACGAAAATTGTCACTAAATTTTACTAAAAACACTATATAAAGCTTGTAATAATAAAGTAAAAATAAGTACAAGTGACTCAAAGTTATATTAAATCGATTATATTTCAACAAATATTGATGTGTAAACCATGTTTAAATTTTGAATGAAGTTGTGCAATTTTCATAACAATGTAATTATTATTTAACTATAAATTTTAAATAAGCCGTAAATTCGTTTTTTGTCTCTCCTGTAAAATTGTTTATTTTGGACTTATGCAATTTTCATATTAAGCCGACGATATATTGATAATAATTTTAATACCAATATATTTGAAAGAAAAATAATTATAAATTTATATAAGAGTATAAATATCTATAATTTAACATAAATCCGACATAGTTTATAAAAACTTTCATGAAAATTCCACACCTGTAATTTTAAACCAATCAAGATACGTGTTTTTGACAGATCACCATGGCAATGGAGGTATTTTAGTGGAAATTTTTTTCTCGTGGGGTACCCAACAGCGAATTATACTGGACATTTTTTGACGTTTACAATAACAGACCATTTTTGGCAGACTGGTTTTTATTTGTTCACATAATAGGTTTAGTTTTGATACATTTTAGTTACAATGCTAAGGTGTTTTCTATATTCTTCGGCCACTTCTTTTCTTCTTAATGGCGAAAATGCAGGACTTTGGATGCTTTGAATTATGTGTCTATGTCTAATAAAATATATATAATATTTAGACACTAATTTATTCACCTTTTTCCCATTCAGCACTTTGAATTTTGCGTAGTTTAGGTGCAAATATTCGTGGACAATTCGGAACAAATTTTCGTTTTTCAAGTTGGAGCCACAATCCTCTATTAATACGAGTAAGTAAGTCATGGTGCAATGATTAATCATTACATCAGACAATTTCACGCATATTTTGCATAGCGTATGATTTTCAAATCGATTCATTTTTAAACAAATAGGTAATTTTTTTGGTTTTACTTGCTGTACAATATTCTTTATCGCAACAAAACGCGAGTTATTTAATGTTTTGAACTGTCAAAATACAATGATCACAGCCTCCTACGATTGATGCTTGCTGACACTGGTTATGAATTTCATACCATTTTAAAGCGCTCATAACGCATGTTAATAAAAACGCAGACAAACAATTTTCTACCACTTGTAGTTATTCAAAACTTACGTAAAATTAAAGAATATACTATTTTCTATTTTCAAATGGTATTCCCATGCAACTACAATGAGTAGAAATAAGCAATTTGAAGGCCTAAATAATTGCAGCGAAACATTTTTTTACGTTGAGCCGCTTGACAACTTCAAAACTAAAATTATATTCCAGGTTAGGGTCTCACTTAGTTACCATGACAACTCAACAATCAAGGCGACAACACCTTTTGTGTTTCACTGATGACTTGGAGAAAATAATTTGCATTGTTGAGAAACGAAAAATAAATTTTAAAAATATTTAATTTTCAACCATAATTCGGCGTGGAATTTTCTTACCGAATACCACGCGAGGTCAAATTAATATCAGGAAATTTTTTTTCGCTCATGAATATTTTTAGAAAATTTTCATAAGCTCGAAAAAATTTTCGGAAATAATTTGACCTCTAGTGGTATTACTAGTGAAAATCATACACATTTGTGTCTATAAAACCTTTCTCTTAATTACTAAACACAAATCCTTATGTTATTAAAAAAAAATTTATTGAATTAAAAATACAGTTGAATCGCTGATTGCAGAAAGGGTACAAGTCATGTTTTCGCATATTTTGAGATTTTTACGTGAATCGACAGTTCAACCCAAACCTCATCGTTGTGCGCATAAAGGATCCATATTGTGATAGACACCATGTAAAATAATAATTTATTTCAATAACGTTGAGTGCAGAGAAGGTCTAAGTCAATTGACTTGTACACTTTATGCAGTCAATCCGATCGCAAGGTGGCGCTGCTAGTGAACTATCGGTAGTGGTTATTTTAATTTTCTGTCAGTTAGATTATCTTGTCTAGCCATGGAGGACGTAAATAATTTAAAACGTAAAAAAGGGGTAGTTAACTGCGATGGATATAAAAGGAATATTATTAAAAAGTGCCGCATAGTTTTAGTCGTTACAATAAAACATATTCTATTGAATTTTTTAATTTTTTTTAGTGTTAAAGGCGAAGAGTGCGTAAATTATGAAGGTAATGTTGTTACTGCTAAATCTGTTGGAGACCCATGTAACTGCAGGTTCAAATGCTTGGAAAAGATTACTAATGAGCAGCAGCTAGAGGCATTTGAAAGATTTTATAATATAGCTACAAAGGACGAACAGGACTTGTATTTACAGGGACTTGTTCATGTTTCTAGTATCAAAACTCGCCGCCCACGAGTACAACAATTTAGGGAGAACAACAAACGTAACAGTAGTTTTAAATATTACGTACTGATTGCAACTGAAAGAAAAATGATTTGTAAAAAGTCATTCTTATCTGTTTATCTCATCAGTAATAAAAGATTACAAAGTATTCAGCAGTTGTTACAAGCAGGAGTTACGCCTACAGATAAAAGAGGAAAACAAGTCAGTGCTAATATTATCCCCGCCGAAGAGAAGATTCGTATTCATGAGCACATAAATTCGTTTCCTGTTAAAACGTCCCATTATTCAGAATTGACAGTTGTAACGGTTGTAACCGTTCTCGTTATTTTGACACCAACATCTCTACACAAATGTCACTTGTCGTTTATGCCTTGTGTCAACGGTTGGCAATTCATTTCGATATATAGCTGTCATCGAACAAGTTGAATTATTGAATTTTAATTATCTTTTATCTTGGACATCCGATGTACTAATTGTCTTTAATATTTTTAATGACCGTCTGATTTTAAAAAGGTAAGTTTTCTACCGATATTTTGTTGAAAAGAAAGTCTAATTAAAATGTCAAATTTAAAACATAACCTCAACACATTAATTCACCCAAGAAATCACATGTTTTATATAATTTTACACGGAAAAAAAATTGTAGAACAAATTTCTACAATTATAGATTTTTTCTCTACAATAAATAGTACATATAGGGACAGGGACAATTTGTAGTAAAAATTTCCAAATATTTGTGGAGAATGTATTGTAGAGTTATTATCTACAATATTTAGTAAAAATATCCAAATGCATCATAAGAATTGTTCTACAAATTGTTATAATTTTTGCTATTCATTGTATGAATTTATATTAAAAATGTATTGCGTTTTATGAAAATAAATACGAAAATTTTACACAATAAATAGTAAAAATTCATACAAATTGTAGTAATTTTTAATAAAACTTGTAGTAGTATTCCATAATTATTATAATTATAACCTAGAAAAAAATGTTCCTTAATAAAATATTCAATTTATTGTTTTAATATAAAAGATACAAAGTCTTAATTACATTATGTAATAAATAACAGTAATAATAGCACCATCAGTCTCAGTTGGCTTTTCTGCACCTGAAAAATATGAAATAAAAAAATTAATAACAATTGAACTGTTCATACCCTTAAAACGGGGGTATTTATCACCTTTACACTGATTTGGATATTAAATGATTAAGTCAGATAACTAACAAAAATGAGAAAGTAGGTATGTCACAATTAGACAAAAAAAACATCATTGAATTTGGCACAAAATTCGATCGTTGGGCACAACATTCGATCGTTGGCCACAACTATTTTTTTTTAAAATAATCTACTAAGGTTATTTAAATTAGTTATCTAAAGGTAAATTATTCAGAAACAATAATAAATGTACTTACCACCAATAGAATTTATTATTAAAATTTTCTCAAACGCATCGGTGCTTATAATATAATAATGTGTTATAGGTACTCGTATATGTACCATGCTTTGTTATGTGAACATGGCGAACGGCTACTGCTGTCTGGCAGTCTGGCCATTTATGATCGACGTCAGAAAACGTTGGCCAATAGCAGAATTCTGTTTTGTTCACATGACTTAGAATTTCTACAATATTATAGAATATTTTTGAACAAAATTGAATATTTTTCATAAGAAGGGATGTAAATTATTACTATTTTTTGTAGAGAAAATTACTATTTTTTGTAGAGATAATTATTAATATTTATACAAATTTTTACAGAAGTTAGTAGTAGTAATTACGATAATTGTAATAAATTTCTATTTCTACAAACAATAGTAAAATATACTAAACATTGTGGAATTCTTTCCTATTGTTGTAGCATTTTATTCGACAATTCAATTGCTACAATAATAAATAGTTTTTAACTATAAATTGTACTAAAATTTTCTACAAATTGTTAAGTATTTTTCTACAAGTCTACTACTACAACATTGTAGGAAAATTTTCTAGTCACATTTTTTTCCGTGTATATATTATTTTGTTAGGAAAGAGATAATATGCTTTACTATATTTAAATATGTTAAATAAGATTTTTTCTTTTCATATTAATTTTAGCCTCTGTGAAACTATTCAAATAATAATTTAAATGTTCATTTAATAATAAAAAGCATTATCTGTTTCCTATATAATCTTTCTAGTCCTTTTTTTGATATTTTTACCTTTTTCCTTGTAGCCTGGCTGTATATAGATGGTTTCAGTAGAGTTTCTATAGAAGTTATATTGATGGTTTTATAGAAGTTTATCAAAAAAGATTGTTAGGAAGAACGTTCCAGCTGCATGTGTAGAAATATTAAAACTTAGAAGTTTGGTTCCAGCTACAGAGGTTGTTACAAGTATTTCAAGAGGTTTAGTTCGAGCCATCCAAAGAAGTTTACGAGATTCAACTTTACCTATGAAGATTTATCAGTTGGTGATATCCAAGCCTATTATACGAATACCCTGTACCTGCTACCTGTTATACAACAGATAAGTTTTCAATAAATCATTTAAATTTGAATAAGTAAGTCTCTGTGAATTAGAATTTGTCGCTACCTTATTTAATTATAATATCTTAATGGTTAGTGATTTTCTATATTTTCATCACTAATCGATTGTCAAGTTTAGAAAGTTTTAAATATAGTGGCGCTCAACATTCTTTTTCAAAGTAATACGAGTTGTTTAATAACCTGACCTACTCCCCAAAATCATAGAACTTAAAACACTATAAAAATAGATAAAATAATAAGATCATATTACACAGTAAGGACCATGTATTCGATGTTTAAAGAAAAATATCCAGACTCAAAGATTAAGTACGAATACTACAACAGAATTTTTAAGGACGATTTTGATCTGAAGTTTGGAGTTTGGTAGGCAGCAGGTCGACACATCCTGCACTTCTTTCAATCAAAATTAAGAGTAAGGATCTAAATGAGAATGCTAAAAGAGTTGCTATTGCTGAAATGCTCGTGCAGAAAAGATGAAGTAAAAAGTTTTACACGGCACTGCAGGAGTCAACAAAGAAGAGCAAAGAGTCTAACAATGTAGTTGCCCTTGCGTTTCACTATATGCAAAACTTACAGCTTCCAAAAATACCAGTACAGGATTTATTCTATTTAAGACAATTAACAGTAAGCGTTTTTTGCATCCACAACATGAAGACTTACCAAGTTGTTTACGTCATTTATCATTAAGGTTGTGGCAAGAAAAGCCCTAATGAAGTGTGTTCCTTCCTTTACCAGTATATAAAGGAATATATACCTGATAGTGTGAGGGAACTGTATCTCTTTAGCGACAATTGTCCTGGTCAAAACAAAAATAACACCCTGATTTGAATGCGCCTGTTCCTGAAAGATTCCGGCAGATTTGATGATATTCAACAATACTTTCCCATTCGAGGACACTCGTTTCTGCCTTGCGATAGAGACTTTGGTAACATTAAAAGAAAGTTAAAAAAAGTCGATCGTGTTTATACCATACGTCAGTATATAGAAATTATAGCATCTTCCAGCAACAAACATAAATTTTTAATCCATCTTGTGGATGGAAAGGATATAGTGAATTGTAAAGACTGGTGGCCTGGACTTTATATAAAAACAGCTATTTCTATTAAAACTTCTCAAAGAGGTAGGCCAAAAGATAGAAAAGTTGCGTTTAACATCGGTAACTTTCATCAGTTTTCCTTCTACAAGAATGATGGGAAAGGTGTACTACTTGCCAAAGACTACATTAATGGATTCTAGAAACATACATTTTGTCTAGAACTTTCCAATATTGTAGCTGAACCTAAAGTATTTTGTTACCTGACAGGAAAACTTCCCATAAAATCAGATAAAATGGATCACATAAAAAAATCGGCTCAATATGTGAACGACGTTGAAGGAAAAAAAGAATTTTGGGATAATGTTTTTAGTCGGCCTATTATAAATTAAAAAGCTGTATTTTGTTAATCCAATTTTTTCTTACAGTCTGTCTTAATGAAGAGTTTTTCCTTAATTACTCCCTCTTTCTTTTTGATTCTTCCAATTGATAACAGAAAGGGTATATGTTAGTCAACTTAAAAGGTCTATAACTTTTTACTGCTTAAAGCAAATATTTTTAATTGCCCCCAAAAGTGACAGTGTTTTGATATAGTTTTTACATGCACATTCAGTTTTTTTATAAATTATGCTCCAGTTCAAAAAACAGTTATTTGCATTTATCTCAGAAGTTAAGTTCAGTGACATATATCTTTTCTGCAATCAGCGATTCAGTTAAATTGTCAAAATATTGTAAAAACAATGTGGCATTATTCTTTCTATTTTTGTAGTAATATTATAAACACAAATAAGAACTGTCTGTAGGGGTGTAGGAGTATTAGAGTAGTAATGCTCCTCTACTATGGAGTATTACACTACTAGTACAATTCATAACCTACATAGAACACTAAGCTAATGACCTTAGATGTTGAAGCCGTATACCAAAGAAAAAAACACTCTTTAATTAACGTCTTGTTGATGGTTCATAATTGATTTATTCCTTTTTGTTTGTCCATTTCGATTTACTTGTGTCAGAAGAATCTTCGAAAAAAGGTCGCGAATATTTGGTCGCGCGAAAAAATGTCGCGCACAAATAGGCGCGTGTCAAAAGGTCGCCGGCGAAAAAAGAGCGCCGACGAAAAAAGGTCGCGAGCAATTGATCGCGCGAAAAAAAGGCGAGTAGGAAAATAGCGCGTAACAATGTTGATATTTCTATTATTATCTCAATGAAAAACAATCATTGGTCTTAAAGTGTTATAATGAGGGCATTGTAATAAGAAGGGTTTGGTAAAATTTAGTATTCATAGATTTGGTTTGAAAATCTTTATATTGCAGCTAACCTTTTAAAGTATGTCTCTAATACCTATTTATTAAAAAAAAAAAACGATTTGTTTATTATTACTTTAGATAATTACCAATAAGCTGGTTACTTATTCTAAGTAAATCTTATTACAAACAACCCCGTTAACTGTTAATAAGGCTTTAATGTTGATATTTATATTATTATCTTTTAATCCCATTGAAAAACAATCATTTATTTCACAATTTACTTAATTGGTTTTAAATACGGTCTTAAAGTGGTATAATAAGGGCATTATAATAAGAAGGGTTTAGTAAAATTTAGTATTCATAGATTTGTCGTTCTGTCAAGAGGGTTCTAACT